CAGCAGAAGAATACGAGCGCCTTAGCAGCAAAGGCCGGCTACCTAAACCAGAAAAGATCACTAGCAAAGGCGCGGAAGCGCTGCAAAAGATTGTTCAGGCACGCATTGCGCAGTATGCTACATCGCTAGAGGATGACTTGAAGACGTTTGACCAGGTCCCACCTGTCGACGCTGCATCGAAGAAGCAGCGGAGGCTTGCGATGGCAAAGGCTGTGCGTATCGGCGAGAAGCAGCTCCTGGCTCAGACAAAAGATGCGCTGGTGGAGAAGATTGCAAGAGATGGCGGCGCGGCAGCGAAGCGGCAAAGGGCTGTTGATGAAGAGGGGGATGTAGAGATGGGTGGTATGGGGAAGAAGCACAGAGCTTGATCAACTCCAGACTGTGCCCATTAGCACCTACTGTGGTGGCGTTGCGAGTTGCACCACGGAGAAGACCCCAATCACCTGAGCGATGTTCAAGATACAAAAGCGATTTGGTAAGTTTCTGAATTTTTTTGTCGCCAACTCAAGTCCTTGCGGCACTCCACGGCGTTGGTATGTATATGGATCCAAGTATCGACTTGCTGACTTATGTTCCATCTAGGTCGCTGCCCTTCCACCCACCCACCAACCGACCAACCGGCCACCCATCCTCCCTCCCTCAAATCTATAGGGCTAGTGTACATAGCTTTGGTAGATGTTTGAAGCCAGAGCCCGCCGAACGAATAGAAAACAAAGGGTATAATCTGTCGACAAGAAAAGCGCTGAACGAAGAAGACTGAACAAATTGTGGGTATCATCTTCCCGCTGGTCCTGCGCCTGTCGCACTTGTCGGTGTGGGAGGAAGAAGATGGCCGGACGCAGATCGATTATGGTTCTCAATCGACCGGCGATTGGGATTTGCGGGTGGTTGCTGCGCCGCTGCCTTCTCGCCTTGACGCTCGATCATGATGCGGTATCTGATGTGCAGGTTGTCAGTCCAGTCAACGGGATAAGTCTCCTCATCCTCGCTGCTGTCACCAGAGAAACGCCAGCGATCTGCCAAGCGATCATCAACCCGCTCGGTCTTCTGACGCTTCACGCCTCGTCGGTCGATCATCATGCGCCCGCCCCGACCGATTCTACGACGGAACCGAGATTGATCGTGGAATGGAACGTCATCTGGAGGAGTGGCGAAACGTATACGCGTGCTTCTCCGTGGATCTGTCTGCTTACTCGACGGCACCACTGCTGTGGCATCAGCACCCTCTCCATCAGATACGGATGCGGGAGGCGTGGGAAGCTGACTCTCCGTGAACACCGTACGGAAGTCTGACTTCGCAGCGGGTGGCTCCAGAGGGGGTGTAATGGGCCGCCATGTTGCGTCGACCCATCCCACATTCCACTTTTGGTGCTTGACCAGGTTGTCTTCGATGAAGCTATCAATGGCCTCGGCTCGCTTGGCTTGCTGCTCCTCGAGGTATACAATGTCACCGTCAACAAGGCGTCCGTCTGGACGTGTGTTTGTGGGTTTCATGCCAGGAAGCGTCTGGCGCTGTCTCTCGACATCGGCAGTTCTCTTGGGCTTGGGTGCAGGCTGTAGTGGGTTAGTCATCTGTGCAAATGGTCTGGTGAGTTCATTGCGACATACCTTCTGAGTGATGAGCAGCTCGTCGTCATCACCCTTGATACTGAGTCGTCGCTTAAGCTCCTTGACAGCATGCCGTTGTTCAAAGATCAGCTTGTCCGTCGCGAGTTGTTCTCTTTGGATTGCCTCTCGCCGTTTAACTTGCGACATCAACAGACGAGCCTCTTCCAGTTCCTTCCTCAGCTTCTTCAGCTTCTCGGTTACTTGCGCGTCACGACCACGCGTCTTGCGGACTTGCCGCACCTCACGTCGCCTGAAGCAAACATACGGATCAGCATCATCGGTCTCGAGGTTCGTCTCGAACTTTAATGAGGGCATAAGCGGGCGGTTGCCTTTCAGTAGCCGTTGGTTCTTCCAATGTGGGTAAATATCTCGTGCGAACCGACGCGCCGACTCGCTGATGGTCTCATCGAACTCTGCTTCGAATTCCTCGTAGGAAAGAACAGGCGAGTTGTCGACGGCTGCATACGGTTGTTTTATCGCGGTGGTCTCTTCGAAGAAGTTAATCACCTCTTCAAACTCGTCTTCTGAGCAGTGGTTGGTTTTGCCTTTCTTTTGGTTGTAAGACTTGAGAAAGGCGACATCATCACTGGTCATGCAATACGGACAGCCAGATGTATCTTCGACGGTAGACGAAAATCGAATGTAAGTGGCGGGCTGCGTGAATCGTTTTGGATAGACATCTTCATACTGCAGTGTACTCGCGACAGCATCCGGAGTCGGGATGTAGAGTTGTGCAATCTTCCCACCAGTCGCTCCCTGCGCTGCTGCCTGGGCGGCGGATATGACAGCTTGTAAATGGTGCTCCTAAACATGATGTTAGTATGTGGTGGGTAAGGGAAAGGGAAAGCCGAAAGCGGCCTAGCGCGACTTACAATCTCCTCGCCCTTCTCAACACCGGTCTCAACTTTGGGAATATGGCGCGACGCATCGTCATCAGCAAGCTGCTCAACATCTTGTTCGCGCACGACAGGTAAATTCTGTTTTGTCGATAGCTTGCGCTGTCTGAAGCGTTGTCCGGTCGCGCGAGCCGTCATTGTTGTTTGTCGTTATGCACGTGACGACGGTTTGGGCTGCGTATGGGGCTTTGGTTGCAAATCTGGCGCCGGGGGCCAGCCAGCGAAGAGAGGAGTCACGCTCCCAGAAGCGCGATCCGACCACCAACGCGTCGCAATATTGTCGATATGGGTGTCAAAAGTGTCGCACGGACTTCCGCATGCGTTTTATCGCGTCGAAAGTGATGAAATAAGGTGTTGGGGTGCTGTTTGGCGATGGAAAAGGTTTAGGTGGGCGGCGATGTCGAGCGTGTTCAGCGGATGCGTTGGGGCGGCTTTTTTGGCAAGGAAGTTGCGCACGCAATGGACCAATCATAAGAGAGATCGCCGAGGATAGGTGGAACCTGCGCGATCGTCTTCTGCCCATCGTGCACACTTAGAAGCAGCTGCACATCCTCATGTTCATTGTCTCCGAAGCAGCAACTGCAGAAAGAAGTGCAGCATGCGTACGTGTTTGCATTTAATGTTACTGCGTTCCATGGTTCTGCGTGGAAGGGAGTCCGGATGGCGTTAGCTCGCCTTGGCATGATGCCTGCGGTGACTTCCAGCACCCACGCCATCACCATAATAACACCTGCACCAGCGGCATGCTCGTTCCAGCCAGCGCTTACAGACGTGTAACACTTCTCGACTGCGCAGTTTTCATGTTCTGTACCTCGAAATGAACTGCTTTAAAGCCATTCCAACAGTCTTCAACATCCTCGGATACTGACGGTCTACTACTATCGAAAAAGCACGCAATCTCATCAAGGCTTCAGTATGATGCCACTCAACATGCAACTCTCTTCAGTGGTATGTTTACAGTCTGGCTGGGCTCGTAAGTGAGAGGTGCAGCTGTAAAGCTTTCTTCACGTTCGACGGCTCAGTCTGAATTCAGTACCATTCGTCTCGCCTTCCCTCTACAAATCAGTCTTTACTGGGGGAGGGGTCCCGTTATGTTGTATCCCGACTCACAACTCACACTCACACGACTGCATTAGTCGTTTATCTCCAAGAAACGAAGTTTAGACTCCTAAGCGGGTCAGCCTTCGAGATACCAGCGACGCGTCTGGGCTCTTGCCGGTTTCTCACACGCTCGGAACGCCTCGGAATGTTCGGAACGTGCTTCCATTAATAGGGCATGGGGGCTTGGAGCCTACATGCATTACAGCAACCGCGCCGCAACCCCGCCCCCAACAACACACGCTCAACTCGCTGTCACTCTGCCCCCATTCCCTCGACGTTTACCTACAACTACACACCTGTCCACAAATCGAACGCTCGCAGAAAACACGGCAATTTCAGTCGGCCCATCAGAGTCGCTAGCTTGAAATGGATCAGTTGCCGCAAGAACTCGTCGAGGAAATCACCAAAAACCTGCCCACGGACGATCTTAAAAACGTTCTTACTCTCTCCACAAAGTTCCGCTTCGCCGCAGAGAGATATTCTGGCGCTTTTACAGAGTTCACCCTGAATGAGCGTAACGCGGACAAGTTCCTTGGGCTTTACTCAGGACACCGGCTGCTTTACTTGCGGGAATTGCACTTTCGGCCCAACTTCCCTCCAATCTGGCCCCCCGACCCCTGGGAAGGCGAGACATGTCGCGAAAACGCCGATGCAATCAGAGCCAAGAATGAGTGCTTCACGCGTCAGGTGCACTCGCTGTTCACAACGCTCAGTACTGTTGAGGAGAATGCTGGACACCAGCAAGCCTCGGGTCGATATCGGATCCAGATATACGACCCCACCAGGCTAATACATAATAGTGTTTACTGTCCTCACCAGGAATACATCAGTTGGCGTATTCGTCTGCTCAATACGGAGCTTCCCCCGGTACATTCAGTTCGTTCGCTAGAGATTCGCAACGAATGCCCAGAAGACGCGAGTGTTTATCACGATAGTCACGGTTATCCTGCAGATTACAGAAAGTGTTTCGATGGTGGATCGTTCAAACTGGACTTGGGGGTCATGGTCGATCTGGCGTCAAAGCTTCCGAACCTGGAGTACCTGGGCTGCAAGACAGGAGGGTTCGAATGGGCTCCTGCATTTTCAGGCAATGATGGTAGTGAAGACCCCAACAGACACTTCCAAAGCGATTGGGATGGCCCACGTCGTGATGCGAGGCACAATTTCGCGCGCGCTGTTGTCTCTCACCAAGCCCATCTTCCGATCTCGCTTCAGCGGGCGAGCCTGGATTTCGTCAGCCCGCTGATACGCGCACTTCACACTATACAAGACAGGCCTTTACCTAATCTGGTTGATCCAGCTCTCCGCGACCCATTTAGCGCCAGCCTTCGTATCTTGACTAATAATCTGCGACAACTGCGCCTGTGGGCGATTGTTGATGAAAGCCTGTTCAGCATGGACGATGACTCACAGCCGCAATGGCCCAATCTGGAAATTCTGGAAGTCATGTTCCACCCGTCGCGGCCTGACGGGTCGTGGTACTTCTTCGGACCTCAAGGCCACGGCCGCGAGGCTGTCGGTTACGACATCACCGCTGCCTCGTACCCCCCTCTTGAAACGACCGAGCTCGACGTTGATATGGACCAGCTTGTAACCTCCGGGCATCTCTCCGACTTACCTAATGGCGCGCAAAATCAGTTTCGTATCACACCAGATGAAGCAAGACTGAGGCCGCTCCTAGCAGGCTTTTCCAGGGCAGCAGCGCAAATGTGCTCTTTGAGGAGAGCCATCATTTGGACATCGCTAAGTTGGTATCCGGAATATGACTACGCAGAGTCCCAAGGCTGGGACTCGGAATATCAAGGACCTGGGCCTAACTGGGCTATACAATATTCCGATCAAGACAACGGTATCTGGGGGTCACCATCGCACCATCTCCCAAGTCAAGAAAGAAACGATAATCCAACCATACGTTGCCTAGTGTGGATGGTGGCAGCGTGGCGTCCAGATGCGGAGCTGCGCCGTCTTTTCCAGAACATTGGGCGAGAGAAGCACGGTAATGATCTGGTCGAGCACTGGGAGGAGGGGTACAGTCAATCCCACTACAGCTATCTTCGCAATTGGATGCTTGACGATCACTGGGGTGACCCAGGCCGCATTCCTTCTTCGTTGTCGTAGGATTTGAACTACGAGACTAGCATCCGAGCAGAATGAACGAATGGCGCTGTTAGTGCCATCTAGATGCAGAGCTCACGTTCCAGACTCAAGATCTTTCGTTGTTCTTATCTCTGGTGACGTCGCTGACGCCGGTAAAGTGTGATTCCGTGTAAGATCGAGGCGGAGCGGAGCTATCGACGAGCAGTCTTGGTAAGCGGCATTTGCGATCCGCGACAACGCCGCAATTTGAGGAACACCATTATTGGCGACCTGGTCGCATTCGCGGTTGTTTCGCTGGAAATAAGCGACGTTTCGGTGTCCGATTCTAACAATGGTGGGGCTGAATCACCTCACCACCGTAAGCCTTGCAAGTCCTTGGCAGCGCGTAATCCTCTCGGCTCTGCTTAATCCGACACGACCAAAAGATACCACCAATATCGTCCGGAAACCGGCACTGCGTTACCTGGTGAAGCCTTCGACTATCTCGCTCAGGCCTGAATGTGCCGCCCATTCGAAATACATCGTATCTGGCCTGGCTTTCTTCGGCAATAGGTACTCGAATTCGTCGATTTGCAAGAGTCCATCTCGTCTCCCACTCGCATCTCGATGGAATCTTGCCATGGCTCTATCATGACGTATATTTCGACTGTGCCATGCATTCAGGAGTCTGTCAGCTTCATCTAACATCAAGCGGCACAGTGGAACTGGGTTGTATGAGTCTCTGCCACGACAACCATGTTCTGGGGCTAAGATGTTCCTTCAGGAATGGGAAGCTTACAGTAGTCGTCATACCTCATGTACCGTCACATTTTTGAACGGCAATGTTCACTGAGCCTCAGAGGCACAGGCTGCCGGGTCCAAAATGACAGCTCATCGACACTCCGAATAGCCAGACCTCACGGCGTGGTTGTATCAGACTGCTTCGTGCTAATAGTAGATCTTGGGGGCGTACTTCCCAAGTATACTCAAGACCAGAATCGATATGAGTATATAGGACTAGGGTTGAACGCGCAAGATACAGCCATCCAAACTGCACCTCACCATCTTTATTCATTTGTGTCTTTGCTGTACCACGATCCAACATGAAGGCTTCCCTCGGTCTGTTGGCCGGCCTGACGGCATGCATTTTCGCGGAAAATTGCGATCCTATCGCATACGAGCAGTCCAATCCATACGGCTTAGCAGAGACAAAAGACCCCAAAGTCGTGGAGAAGCTGGACAAATACCTATCGGACACTAGATGCCACATGAGATCCGACGAGATTGAGGACGATGTGAAGGAGCAGTGCAAGAACGTATGCATGCCAGGTGACAGCACAGAAGAGGGCCAGATTGTTGTGTCTTCTCAAAGTTGCATCTTTGGTGACAACCCCTGGTACCCGTTAGGTGGATTGCATCCCCTCCTGTGCGGTGAAGACAAAACGTACAACGGTATGTCTCCCTAGGCATATGCCTCTTATGCAATACAGAATTGTGAGACTAACTCTGAACGTAGGTTTGATGATTAAGTCAGGCCACTGCGCTTGTGATCTTCCAATTCTGGAATTTGCGGGTGAATTCTTCATCGAAGGACTCGCCGAAGCTGGCAAGATCCTCGAGAAGGTGCTTTGTCCCGCGTTGAAAGCCCTCGACGTAGTAATGGCCATTGGGATGGCAGCACTTCCCCCACCAGGACGAGCCATCACAGGTGGAATGGGTAAGTGAAAATCATTGCTCTCGTTTAGTAGCAGACGCTAAGAGATGATTATAGTGGCCGCTATCCGATCAGCAAAGGCGTACAAGTACGCCCATGAAGCGCAAGACGCTGCGCAAGAGTGGGCCGACTTCTTCCTCAGTGGTGCGGACTTTGCGGGACAAGCAGGTTGCGACTCGCCGGTACCAAGCAGGGACGAATTGATCAAGAAGGCCTTTACTCCTCTGGTCGATGCCCCGGACGAGCTTGTCCCGGGTGGGATGAACTACGATGACCTACCATGTCCTGCGAAAGGCTGCAAAGGATGCAAAGGTCCACGCTGCACGAGAAACAATGGGGATGGAGACAGAGACGTTTCCAAAACTAGCGCCAAACCTGCCCCATCGATTCGGACCGGCCAGCCCGAAAGCAGAGCGCAAGAAACTCTGACACCATCCGTCTCCTCTACGCTGATCACTTCCACGCTCTCACAGACGCCTGATATATCGACTATACCTTCAACCCCCATCTCTTCATCGTCTACTTCGCCAGCAGCTACATCGTCCGCGCTCGATTGCAAAGCGTTGGGAGCACTGGCAAGAGAACAGGATCCACTTCAAGAGGAGCTTCGCAAGCGCAGTTACCCCATCACTTTGTCACTAGAGTCTGTTGAGAAGCGCAAACCCAAGGAGGCGAACGTATGTGGTGCGGATTTCAACAGCTGGGATTTTCCAAGCTCTGGACGTTGGGGGAAGAATCCACCCACGACATTGAAGAAGTACGGGTTCAACGAGCGCGACTCTTGCGACAATTATGACTGGGACAACCCAGACCCCACCGCCAAATATCAAACCGAACATGTTCTCGAATGGCAGACTGTGGCCAGCTTCTTCACTTGGATGGACGAAGCGGCCACCAAGGCCAACAAAAAATATGACCATCCGGACCTTAGCAAAGCTGGGGAGAAAGTGGGATTTTGTGAGTACTGGAAACTAACATGGGCATTCGAGAAGGGGGAAATGGGTATTCCTGGGCCCATTCCGGCTGTGCCATCCCCTACAGCTGTGTCATCCATTTCGCATATGTCGTCCGTTCCAGCTGTGTCATCCGTTCCAGCTGTGTCATCTGTTCCAGCTGTGTTATCTGTTCCAGCTGTGTTATCTGTTCCAGCTGTGTCATCTGTTATAGCTGTGTCATCCGTTTCGTTCGCTTCAGCCGTATCATCCGCTCCAGGCGTGCCAGCTATTCCACACAACGGACCAGCGATACTCCAACGCCCCTTTCAGTGGATAGCTAGTCAGTATCCCTATAAGAAAGCCAAGGAGCAAGGTTGGTTAGATGAGTTCAAGCTGCTAGAGCAGGCACTCAATGGCGAAAACAAGTCCAAGGTATGTACTTCACGCAACGGACTGAAAGGCTATCAACCTAACTATTTCTCTTCTGCCACAGCTATTCGACATAAAAAAGAAAACAACGGGCGAGTATTCGAATATTCGTGTACCCGAGAAAATGGAGTTCTTGATTCAAGGACGTTCGAACGAGGACGGCATCAAAGCTCTTGATGCTGCCTCTCAAGCACGCGTCGCCGTACAAAGGCTACGCCAGATGACAGGAACCTTGAAGTACATGCAGGACAAAGATATAGCAGAAATCTTCGCCAGAGAAAAGAACAGAATCGGAGCGATCATTGGGCACATCGACGAGCAATTGACTAAAACACCTCGGAAATCATCACCGGGAGTTGGAAAGAGCTATACATGGGTGAAGCAAGACCTTCAAAAGGAATGGAACAAGTACATGGAATTCACGTTTGAGCATGCAAGGAAGAGGGCAACAGATTTTATGGCAACATGGCTAAAAGCTCTCAAGGAAGAGTGGGAGTCCTCGAAGAAGACTGAAGTGGCCAAGGACTTCAAGGGTAATGCCCAGGCGAAACAGATCAAGAAAAAGGAGCTGGAACAGACACAGAAGGATATACTGGCCCTTGTTAAGAAGACTGAAGACGAATGGGACAAAGTCAAAGACTGGAAGAAGCCGGCGAACTGGAACGAAAAGGACGAAGAAGACACAGGAGACGATGGCGCCGATCAAGAAGACCAAGAAGCAGCAGGCCAAGATGCAGTCTGAACAGAAGCGCGCATTTCGAGACAGGGTTTGTACTGATTGGTGACAATGAATCTTGGCAGTTGGATTGGGGGCTGGTCCCTAGATATCAACTGCATGTGGCATTGGGGGATGTTTCGTCTGGGATCTTGTACTGGAGTCATGGCTGTGTTTCATCTCACTCGTTAGTTAGTCTGGGCGGCAATCGTAACCGCCTTCACGATGCTCTCTGTTCATTCTTCCCTATGCATCGCCGATCACTGGTCCATCACTTTTCTTTAGTAGAATACTCATGACTAATGTATTGCTGTGGGCGCGACCTATCATCCTTGTCTTCCTTTTTCTCAAGCGTTCTAGCGACGATAGATGCGACGAGTGATGGGCAGGAAGGAGCCACTTTAGCGCTCGGAATGTTTCGGAAGATTCCGAATTAGCCGCATGTTGTGACTACGCCGCAAATCAGCCCAGAGCTCTGCCACGCGCACCTTCGTCATGGATAGTAATCTCCCATTATCATCTCCGCAGTCTTCTCATAGAAGTTCAATCGCTCCTCAGCATGGCACTCGCTCAGCCACCAAACCTTACTCATTACCGCAACTCAACTCATATTGTCTATCACATACTCACACCATCATGAACAAACTCCCACAAGAGCTCATCGAAAGAATCTCTAGCTTTCTACCTAGAGAGGACTTGCGCAGTGTTCTTACCCTACATAGCAAATTTCGCTTTGCAGCAGAAAGGCACTCCGGGGCTTTTGCAGAATTCACAGTCACTGAAAACAACTCAGCCGACTTCCTCACGCGCTTCTCCGGTCATCGCCTCCTCTATCTGAGAGAGGTAACGTTCCGACCAGATGTCTCGGCAACGTACGACTTAAAGGGTAACGAGGTTGATGACGACGGCAGCGATGACGATGGTGATGATGACGACGTTGACGAAGATGACGATCGAGTATTTTGCCGAGAGAGTGCTGACGAGGTGCGAGAGAGAGACGAGTCATTCACCCGCCAGATGCAATTTCTGTTCGACATCCTTCAACGAGTCGAGAAGCAGGCCGGAAAATACCACGCTCCGGGCAGGTATCGACTCACGATCTACAACCCGATAAGAAGAACGGAAAACGAAGATGCATGCCCCCATCGCTATATGACCAGCTGGCGCGTCCGGCTACTAGCAAAGGACTTACCTCCCATCGCGTCCATCCGATCGTTCAGAATCGTTAGTAACGACAGGAAAGGGTACGAGTACGAGTACCCTCCCTGGGACCAATATGCATATACGTATTGCCTTCGATACAATTATTCCGAGATGCAGGAATCGAAGCTCGACCTGCAGGTTCTCATCGACCTAGCGACCAGCACGCCCAATCTAGAATATCTGGGTACCCGAACCGGAGGGTACGAATGGTGCGAATCCCTGGATGAAGAGGAAGATCCGTGTAGTGGACACTACGAGCACGACTGGGCAGGACCGCGACGAGATGCTCGACATGATTTCGCTGCCGCAGTTACCAGCTGTGTCGACAAGCTACCCAAAACGTTGAGGCGAGCTACGCTCGACTTTTTATACCCCTTAAGTCGGGTGATTGACTATGATCACGGAACGCTTTTCCCAGATCTTGTAGGTAGCAACCTTACTCACGATCCTTTCTCGACGAGCCTCAGTATCTTGTGCAACAACCTTCGCCACCTGTAAGTCATATTCATGCATACAAACTAATATGAGACCAATAAATTAACTTGTACATTCAGGCAACTACGGGCCATGATTGACGAGAGCATCTTCCCCGCACTATCGCCACAAAATCCTGCAACATCACACACTCCCTGGCCACACCTTGAACTACTTGATCTCATGTTTCACAACGCCCGTCCCGATGGCACATGGTATTTCCAAGGCACTGATGGCCGAGGCGACGTTGCACGCGGTCTCCCTATCACAGACGCTTCCTACCCACCCTATAGTCGCACGCAGTTCGATGAGGACATGGACGAATATTATGTCGATAACATCCGGGGTGGAAGACAGACACGTGGTAAGGATAATTACGAGTTCCGGATTGCTCCTCATGCCAATCTCATCTTACTGCTCGAACGCTTTGCAAGAGCAGCGATACAAATGCCGGCGCTCAAGGAAGCAGTGATATGGTCGCCCATAAAGGGGCAAAATGTGCACCTCGAGCGGCCGATGGGCAGTAATCGTGATCTAGATGCGATATGGGGAATTGACTACACTGAACCAGACCGCTCTCAAGAGTTCAGATCCACTCGTCAATTAGATTGGTCAGTAGGGAAGTGGCGCCCTGAGAAGGAACTGCATAGCCTCTTCCAGGAAATCGGACGCACGAAACATGGAGATGAAGTCACGGAGCGCTGGTCCAAGGATTACAGTTGGGATGAAGTGTGGTCTTTGTATGCAACGGAAGGCGACGCGAAGAGACGCTTTCGCAATTACGGGAAATGCGTTTAAGGAGAGGTATGGGCGAATGTATAACCACGTTGTAGTCCTCCACGATATATCCATTATGAAGTTTACGAACCGACTAACTTGTTAAATAATGATCTAACTAACAAACAACCTAACTAACTAAACAACCACCTAACAGCTAAACAACCTAACTAACAATCTAACAATCTAACTAACAACCTAAAAGACTAACTACTCTAACTCTACTCTAACCTAAGGCAAACACTCTACATTAAAGAACACTACAAGACAGGCGCAGAGACGTACCTAACTAACAATCTAACAAACCAACGACCTCTAACCCTACGCATCTAACACAAACACACTACAAAAAAGCTACCTTAAGACAGGCGCAGAGACGAACGCAACACATTTACGCTCTATCTCCCCAAAACGTCTATACCTTCCAAAACCAACTGTATACCTTCTCCCAAGAAGTATCGCGAACAAGAAGAAAAAGATACACCTAATAACGCGTAGAACTACGACAACTCGACACGAAAATTTGTAAAAAGAAGTAAGCTACTAATTACATTACGGCGATGTACATACTTTGGCACGGGCAGCGGCACCAGCACTAGCATCAGCACCGTAAACAAAACAAGACGCCCAGGCTAGTTGGCGTGTACCCGTGGGTACCAATGTCTCCCCTTCGCTCTTTGGTAAAATTATAAGGAAAGTGGAATGCCGACTCTGGGTATATAAGCTCGCAGCGAGATCCATGTGGAAAACCTCGCAAGACTGCGTAAAATAGCACAAAACGTTTACATACCAACAACCACTCTTTTGACGCAATCGCATAGAAAACTAAGGATGAAATTCATAATCTCGGGGCAGAAACAGCAACGCCTTCTCCGATCCTTCACACCCTCCAGGCAGTCTTCGACAAATCTACCAACGTACATTGTGGGATAGATGCATTACTAGGAAATCTTACAACACCTCATTTCCACGTCCACTTTAGTTCACTTATCACTCCTTCACCCCATCATCTCATTCCTTTACCATAACAATAAACAATATCATTACAACTAGAACTCTACTAACCCTGGAGCCTACGTTGGCGTTGAGTCGACTACTTTGCGTGGTGTGAACTTGATGTAAGCTGCAGGCCTAATGCACCCCATCACCCCACCACTCCCCCTCCCCTCTCTCCATCCCCTCTCCTCTCTCCATCCATGCCCTGCAACCATCCCCCCAAACCCATGCCTTACAAACCCCCACCCCATGTCTACCGCATAAAACTCCCAAAATTCAAAAACGTACTCCCACTCGGTTTCTGTGTCGCACTCCTCGGCGTAACCGGCCTAGCCTTGTGTTCCAATTCCTCTTTCGCTTGGACCGTAACAGGTTTGAAGGACATTGGTTGGTATGGCGGACCACCTTGTGCTGGAGAGGACTGTTGCTGTTGTTGAGATACTGGTTGTGATGACGGCGCATGGCTGTAAGATTGGCTAGATTGCGGGTGCCATGGCATACCAGCCGGAGCCCAATTTGTCGAATTTGTATTCGTATTTGTATTGGAAGTTGTGGCAGTAGTGTTCCTGAAGGATGTCGGTTGCTCGCGGGTGTACAATCCAGAGGGCTGCTGTGTAGATGCAGAAAACGTGGATAAGAGCGGCTCACTGCGTTTTCTCTGCAAATTCCTCCGTCGACTATCCTGCGCCGACTTCTCCAGCTTCTCAGCAATCTTGCTCGTCTTCGCCGTATCCATGGTGAACCAGCCTGCATCCAGAATCTGCTGTGCTGTAGGCCTATCCGTAGGAACGGGGTTCAGGACCCAGCTCAGGAACTTGATTTCCTTCTCCGGAACACCCTTTTCCAGCAACCTCTCCCAGTGTTGTCCTTCGTGGTGCGAGCGGTCGTGGTATGGGAGTCTGCAGCCGTCGTAGTAATCCAGCGCGCCGAGGCCGAAGTCGTGTGCTATGGCTCGTTCGACGGATCGCTCTTTCTGGCCTTGACCTGTGTTGCCTTGGAGGAGCTCGTCGTAGATGCCGTATTTGTTGAAGGAGGCTTGGGCTTCGAGGAGCTGGCAGTAGATGACGCCCCAGGACCAGATGTCGGCTGGCTGGTTGATCTCGTTGCGGAAGTAGACTTCGGGGGCGCGGTATACGATGGGTTGGACGAGGCCTTTTGCTGGCTCCATGACGATTCCTAGGTCGCCTAGTTTGGCGGTGATGCGGTCGTCGCCGACGGAGGCTTTTTTGTTGGGTTCGTCTTCGAAGCCGCTTAGGAGGATGTTCTGCATCTTCAGGTCTGGATGGGGTTAGCTTTTACTTGTCATCCTGGTTGTGTGTGTAGAGGCTCACCTGCATACACCAAGCCTCGTTGATGCACATCCCGCAGGCCCATCAACGCCGAGCGCATGATACCCTTGAGTTCCACATCGCTGAACTGCCGCTTCTTCCGCGCATCCCAGAGAGTCGATTGAAGGATCTCGAGCACGATTCGGGGCGGGTCGCCTCTACCGGATGGTGGGATGCGGTCCACTTGTTGTCGGATTGTTGGAATGCCCTTGAGGAGCTCGTGCATGATCATCTCGTGTTGGAACTTTGGCCATCCAAAACCGACGTCATCGTCGCCGGGTTGCTTCACGATGAAGATGTTCGATTGAGTCGCTGCGTCGACAGCGACCCATACATTGGCCTGACCGAGTGGCTTGACGAGAAGGTAGCGGTAGCCGTGTTCGCCGACAAGCTCGGCGCCCTCGCGCATTTGGATTGTAGCTCCAACCATTGTGAAGTGGCGATCCGGGTTAATCGAGGTTCTAGTATTCGACACAGAAAGCGTGTATTGGTGTGATTTGGGTTGAACCGGTTTGGTTGTGAAAGTAGTAATCGCTCAAGTCCCATCCATCGAAGTTGATGAGCAGAAAGGAGGAAGCGACGTCAGGTACAAGATCAGGATATGGGAACGAAGTGGATCCAGACGGACGGATACCGGCTGTCAAGTTCCTAAGCTTAGAGAAACGGTGTTTCCAACATTGGGAGCTTCAAGCCTGAATTGGCTGCTTGATTGCGCAGGGCCGAGCGATGACGGAAGGCCTGCAACGGTTACGGAAGTGGCGGACTCGCGTCATTGGCCGCTGCGTAGTGGCCATGGCAACTCGTGTCGATCTGGCGTTGTTGATGCTCAATAAAGTGCATGCGATGCTGCATTCGATCCAGGGACATAGCCTTTACCTGGATGTAGATCCTTGAGGCTTGCGCATTTCGGGAAGAGTTGTGGAGTCGGAGGTCGATGCCGGCGCGGTTACCCAGCTGAACATCTGAGATCTACCATGATCATCCCGCACGAAGATACAGCCTCGATTACCAGCGCCAAAGGCGACCACGCATATTACGAGGTATACATAGACCTAATCTTCTGCTGTCTCGCCACTGCAAAGAACCTCCATCGCCTCTACGCCTTCCCTCCCCGACGTACCGACGTCATCCATCCAGAGCTGCGCAGTGGCCACGACAATCTGCCGATCTCTCCATATCGGAAAAGTAAACAAACTTCGCTTGCTCTTGAACGTCGCTTAGGTTCATATCAACCTTGCATTTACCAGCGACGTACATGCCAGCATTGACCCGGTACATGCGACGTCGCGATATAGTTACGAACACAGTAAGCTTGATGACAAGGGGAGGGAAGTAGCGAGGCGGAAGGGTCAGGGCTGGGGGGCCAATCATATGCGGATGAGGGAAACAAGTGGGGCCACATTTGCGTGTTCGCATGTCGTTCGGAAAGCTCGGAAAGACATAGTTCCTCAACCGTTCATGGTCGCAGTTGAACATGGAAGATCCCCTTAATGGGAAGTCTGTTTAGTTATCTTTGTTTTGGTTGAGAGCGATACGCAGCTGTCTACAGTCATCATCTCATACTCGACACATGCATGAAAAGTCACGGCCTTGATTACAGTTCGGGATGATAACTACTCAATACATTTCATATTAACATAAGCAATAACGCTTCTTCTTCTATCTAGATAACAACACTTCGCATCCCTAAGCCGAGCTCTTCGGTCTTTCATCCTGATGCCTCCGCGGTCCGGCCCCGGTCTGGCCCTTTCCCTTTCTATGAGGATTCCACCCTAAGTCCCCCTCTTCAGACAACGACAGTGGTCCAGCCTTTTCATGTATACCAACAGCGCCGGTTGTGGTCTAAATACCACAATGTAACAACAGTTAAACAAGCTAGGAGGGCAACGCAGCCCTCGATCAATAATGTGGATAGAAGCGAACAAAAGGTGTTGTAGGGTAACGTAGAAGCGGAAATACGAGGCGGCTGCGATGATGATGGTGGAAAACGCCGGATAAATGCAAGACATGTGAACGGACGTAACGCTGAAACAATGCAATGCGCGGACTGGATGGTGCGATTAGACTTCGTGGCGGTCGTCGAGCTCGAAGCTTCGTTTTTGGCTGATGCGACGGTAGAAGGGCATCCTTTGGTTGAAGTAGCGCATCTTTGGCGATCCAGGTCCGGTCGTGCGCTTGTTGAGAACGAAGAACTTGTACAACATGCCGAGAATTGCAAATCCAACAACGAATCCGAAGACAGTGACAAGGAGCCAGTGCTTGGCGAGCCAGAAGATGATCTTGACATCGGTCCTGTGCCAGCTGTTTCCGAGGTGGTGGGTGAAGAAACTCCAGGGGTGGTTGTTGTATTCTTCGGGGAACAGGATGCGCACGCGGTTCTGGTCGATGGGGCCGGCGTTGTTGTAATGTCTCCACACAAGACTGAGGAAGAGAGGTCCGGTGGAGGCCATGACGGTGATGTAGGGGAGTGGCCAGCGACGGTTGTAGTCGGTCAGGGAGTCGATGGCCTTGAGGAAGAAAGGGTGACGAGGGACCGCGCCCATGGCATCGTTCGAGATACCAGTGGGAATGGTGCGGCGAACCCAAGCTGGGTAGGCAAGAAGAGGGTCGAGACTGCGGTTGCATCCCTGAGAATGTTAGCATTGCGACGGTTGAGAGGACATGCCATACGTACATCGTCCAAGTCAATGTAGATTCCACCAAAGTGGTGCAGGACAAAGTAGCGAATAGCATCGGCGCGCTGGATGGGGTAGGGGTAGCCGTCGAAAGTCTCGAGGAACCATGGGTATCTGACGATGTTAGCTAAGACCTCGCGTGATGTGGACGTAGGAGCGCCTACTCTTGAGCGATAAACTCGCGCGACTTCTTGTCGGTCCACAGCTTGTACTCGTAGTCGGGATGGAGGTCCAGGCAGCTCTGCTGGGGGCCCTTCCAGTGCAGCGGTATACTGTCGTTGATGTACGTCTGGTGGATGATCTTGGGGATCAATTGCGGCGCATCACTAATCGCGCTCGAGTTGGGCGCAGGGAGTTCTCCGCGGAGAATGGCATCCTCGCGGCCAGTCGCGATCAGAAGACCGAGCAGTGTCCATACGCTGTGTACCGCGAAGCCGAGGACGACGATGGTGACGAGCAGAAATATGGTGACGCCTCTCCGCATGATTGCTGTATTGTTCTCTGCCTCCTTTCCCGATGGATCGTTGTGCACGGACTAGGTGGTGAGTGAAGAAAAGGCGCGAGGGCGGGATAGAGATGTGGTATTAAAAGAAGTATAAATCAAGCATCCGGCAAGCATCAACGTCCGTCTAGTACTTGGCGGGAGAAGGAGGGAGAAAGGGCAGAGGCGTGGGCGTGAGACAAAAGACGAGCGCTGCGCGTCTAGAGGGCTAGAGTGAGGCTGTGCACAGACGCCCAATCTCAGGAGGCACGCTAACGGGGTTCGCGCCTGCCCCCTCCAGGCACTTCACATGTCAAACACGGTTCGAGCTGCGACCATCCACCCCCACACCGTTGCGGTGAATATCTGAGTGTGCTCGCCTTGTTCCACCGCTCTTGGGTCCAATTTCACTGTCTGGTCAACACAAACAGCCCCGTCTCTCACTCGCAGCCAGTTCCATAAGCCGTCATCGTCGCGAGAGGCTATGTAGTGAGGCATTTCCGTCCCGCCTATGACGCGATGCTGCAGCGCGCTACATCTCCCACACTCGCTTCCCACCAGTTCCCACATTCTACGCAGCCAGCCAAGACCAGCTCACATGTCTCCTACGTCGACCAAGCAGTTGCGCAGTACGCGCGATAACCTTGGAAGCTAACAGCCCGCAGTGTATGTACACACCGTTGCTAGGCGCCCTGGCGTGTGTTTGGCGGGCAAATTTCTTTTGCGCCTGCTGCTAGTCGATCAGGACCCACCAAACTGGGAGAAAACCCAGCAAAGAGATGGACCTTGGTAGACTAGCGCCCAATTCGACAGTCGGCGCATTCAGTGCTGTCTCGGTAGTTGTTGCTATCGTGACCCTGGTACTTGGTCTCTTACTCCCACGGCAGGAAGCGAGCTCCATGACGTACCAACACCAAGCCTTGTCTACACCATGACGATGTTGTGTTGAGAATTATTCCGCGGGTAGCACGGTACAGGCTGGAGCGGAGTACACAACTCATGATTCAGTTGCTACTAGCATCCACTTGAATGTGTGGAGAAGGGTCTTCGCCAAGACCTCCGAGGTCTCCTTACATTGTAGCCGAGCCTTTCCAGTGCGTGCGAGCATCTTGATTCCGTCGGGTCGCATCCCGTCGAATTTACTCCGCGTTTTGTAACAAGTCAGTGATCCGCCCGAGGTCTCATCATGAATTGCGAAATCGCTGTCGAGTGATACTTGTGTGTTCGACGTTGTCATTTCATGCATCGATGAAGGAAGGTCGACTGGCCGAAAGATTTCCTCGCTTATTCGAGAAGCTGTTACTCGCCGTCGCGCCTCCCACCATATGAGATGTGAGAGAAGCGACGCTTGAGTGTGTCAACTGCAGCATGTTGAACTCACAGCACGAAAGCAAGGCACCTTCATTTCTTCACCTTGTTCGACTTTACCATGCCGAACAACGCCCTACGACCTATCAATACCTCCTAGCCATGTCACCAACTTGACTTCTTACTTGAACTTCCATTCAGCTGGTATCCTGCACAACAACTCCTACCACGATGCTAATCCCACTCGGACTATGGACGTTGCTAGTAGCCGCGGTCATTTCGGCGGCCATTTCGATCGATAAGCCTACATTACCAGACAGAGCGGATGTTTATCCTGGTGAACCGCCTGGACCACGTACATCGTTTGTTGTAACCTCCAAGTTCTGCGTCATTCTGCTATCTGGGCTACTTGGTACGCAAGACTGCTTGCTTCATCTAGATGCAACGTACAATTGATACGAATAGGATATCGCGTTCGAATACTTGACCGCCAACCCTTCGATCGCGTAACCTTGACCCAAGTCTACGTCTTCATCCTCTACTTCCTCTCAATTGGCTTCGCTTTCTCCGCCGCAGTGGTAAACAACGGCCTAGGGCTAGGAACAAACGCTGTCTGCAAGGTCGCCATGAGGCTGTGCATCGTATTCTATGCCGGCAGTAAAGTGAGCATGTGAGGTGGTCCCTTCTAAAGAGATCATGGATGTATTGGAAGAACTAACTCCCGGCTTGGTGGATAGGTATCTCTTTCTTGTCGAGCGAGCGCACGCCCTACGAGCACCTTACATGACGCGCTATCATGACCCATTATGGCTATACAGCACAATTGGCATCGTAGTGAGCCTCGGTACCATTGGATGTGTCGCCTTCATCCTACCGGTGTTTTGGATCTCCAACGATGGACGTTGCCGCATTGGTGTCAAGCGATACACGGGCGTCCCGCTTTTGACATGCGATATCGTCATCAACGTCTACCTCACGCTTGTGTTTGTTTACCTCTTGAGCCCTTTGGTCAGAGGCGGCCAAACCTCGAGCGCCAGTTTCCCGAGCCGATTAGCACTGTGGATCGGCAATGTTTGCAGTCGGACAAAGAACAAAGCCACGCCGAACCTTCATCGATCAAACGAAGTCATGGCAAAGAAAGTCGAAACTCTGCTGTGGAAGACGTTTTGGGGAACAGTCCTTGTTATCGTGCCGACTGGCGCGAATCTTGCCTCTCTGTGCATTCTGCAGGGAAACGAACTGGCCTTTGTTCGTTGAGCTCTGAGTGAACACGAAGGCATTTACTGACGTGTTCTGGTGGCGACAGGTCTGCTATACGATTTGCACGTTGGATGGTACTTTCACCACCAGCTTGTGGTGAATCTGGCTAACCGAATGTCAACAGTCACGTGGGCTGCTGTGGTGTTCCACTGGCTCACATTGGCTGGTACCGACGAGAAAGAGGGCGGTTCTGCGGCGTGAGTAACGAGCCTTTCTTTCACTCATATCTGACATGCTGTAGGCCACCGGCACGTCAAAACACGTGTCCGCAAGTTCCACGACCTGCAGCACAGCCTCCTATGCGGAAGAAAACTTCAATGTTGGACCTTTCCTTGAACCTGTTTTCGGACGATGCAGACAAAGATGACGAAGGGAGGTTTCCAAGCAGGCCAGGTCTCAGCAAAGATCACACATCGACCACGCTTCATCGGAGCCCCAGCATACGTTGAGATTCACGATGGAGAGACTCTGGTCATTCTACTCTGGTATCTGTTCCCAACAACATCGTCTGACCAGGCTGGGTGAGGTCAAAAGTCGGAGTCCTCTTCTTCGATGATGGCTTGTGAGAGCAGACCCCGCCTGCGAGGCCCAGCAACCTTTTTCAACACCACGGGCGTCGCACTCGGTGAATGGTCGATGGGTTCCTCCCTCTTCACACGCCGCGCAGCCCTGTACTCGGCGGCTGTTCTTCCCTGTTCAGGCTCCTTGGGCACGATGGGTGCGTCGATCTTAAGCGTTGATGACAGAAATCTGAAGATGACAAAGATGATGGTGCCGGTGATGCATCCTATGAGGCTGGCAGTTCCGAAGTAGACGTAGAGTGTCTTTGTAGATTAGTATGGTAAAGATTATACGCAATGGATCAAGATTGAATACCTCTATCCTCTCCAACCACTTGACGCTAAATGGGATTGATAACACTCTGATGATTGATTGCCCGAGGTGGATGAAGGGTAGCAGGACGAATGTGATGACGTTGTAGAATGGAAGTAATAGGATGACGACGAGATTGATGAGTTTGTTGATGGGAAACCAAATCACGCGTGCCAGTTGCACGGAGATGCGTGCGACGACTGAGAAGACGGTGCTCGCGTCCATATCCGGCCGGGCAGATGTGTTGACGCGTTGGTGGTGGACGGGCGCGACTCACGATACAGGGCCGACTGCCCCACGATAGGTGTCATTGGCTCGTGCATTGAGCTATCGGCGATGGGTGCAGCCATGGAAATGCTAATCCCTGTGAGGCGCTGCATGCAATCCAGCGGCCGGGGCCAGCTCCAGCTTCAGTCCTGTAACGTCGCCCTCGTGCACATCCAGCGGGCGTATCCATGGGGAACCAGAATTCGCGGTCGACGACGCCGACGTCGAACCCGGCCTCGCCCACCAACAACGTGACTGCATCACATGGCCACGGACACGGCAATCCCAGCGGCCACGGGCACGAGCGACCCCAACACCACCACCACCTGCCGCACCTTCACCCGCCACACAGCCAGCACCACAGCGCCCGCCGCCGCGAGTCGATCCAGGCGCTGAGTGCGGCCAAAGCCCCCGCGGCTCCCAGCGTGAGCCTCGTCGACGCTGAGAGCCATCCCACGTCGGCCCGCCCCATCTCGCGTGGGAGAGCGCAAACCGTGGGAACTAGCACCAGGGCCATTACCTCGCAGCTGCAGGCCGCCCAGGACCACTACAACAACACCCAGGCCCGCAACCACTCGGCCCACACCCACGACGCCGCTATGGGCAACGAGCAGAGCAGCCAGAAGGGCGCCCACTTCCGCAGCAGCGACAAGGACAAGGACAAGCAGGGTCATGCCGCCTCCCGCGATGCGACTCCCCCGCAACCAGCGCCTGTACCCGACGCAGCGCCCATTGACCCAGCGCCCTCTTCAGAAACCTCACCCCGCGCGCCCTCGCCCACCGCCCCCGTCGACGTCCCCTCGACCCTCGCATCAAGCTCCTCCCCACCCCTCTCCTCCGCCATCCCCTCCTCCCTCGACCCAGCCTCCGCCTCCGACTACCTGCCCCCAGCATCCCAATTCTCGCGCCCACCGCGCCTCCCCCTCCCCATAGAAGAAGAAGTGCACACCCCCGGCAGCCCCATCATCTCGCCCCAAGAGATATGGACGCCTGTCCACGAGAGCGACGCCGATGGCATGTTGCCGCGCAGATCGAGTATGCTGAGTACGACGACAGCCGATGATGAGGATCTAGGAGAGGAGTTCAAGGGGCCCGGGCAGGGGAGGCCGACTGTGCCGACGCTGATTGAGTGGGAGGGGAGTGGGGAGAGGGTTTATGTGACGGGCACTTTTGCGGGGTGGAATCGGAAATATAAGTTGCATAGGAAGTAAGTTTTTCGAGTTCTTGGGGTGTCTCAGGCATGATTGGTGGGACAGTCATGCGCCTGGCTAGAACGGTGGATGCAGGCAGACGTATATGAGGGTTGCGCCTCGAACTCGATTCTGCATCAGCCGCCTTCGAGGTTACACCACACACCGACAGTACTAACATCTCCCAGCGGCCCCAGCAAGAAGAAAGATGCCCTCTCCGCCTACGTCTCCGTCACCCCAGGAACCCACCACCTCACCTTCCTCGTCGACAACGACATGCGCACAAGCGACAAGCTCCCCACCGCCGTAGACTACACCAACATCCTCGTAAACTACATCGAAGTCCCCTACCCCGAACTCACCCCCCTCCCCGCCAGCCCCCCAGCAAAAGACGCCGCCGCAGCCACCGACCCCCTCGATGCCGCAACCCCCGTCCAAGAACGCGAAGCCCCAGCCGGCATGTACCCACCCCAAATCCTACCCCCGACCCCCGACCTAGACCCCGCCTCGATAACCGCGCCCCCAATCGAACCCGCCAAACCC